CAGTGCCCTGAAACGACTTCTGTTGGGACTTGGAGCTATAGAAATAAACTGAATTGACAATTTTAAATATTCTAAATAAACAAATAAAATAACTTTTTTAACAACGAGTTATGAATTGTTACAAGTTCACATAAGGATGTTAAACACATTTTTCTAAATCTTGCTATATATCTAGAGAAGCTAAAAAAATACAGTACATAAAGGGATGGTTTGAATCTTTTGAAGTGGAGTTTTGTTGAAAGGTTATGAACAATTAATATCTTACCTGTTGTGGATAGCTGATAGGATAGAAAAAAAAAAAACTTGTGTATGTGTTTTTTCTTATTGTCACAATTTGCCAAATTTCAGTCCTGGACTCCTGAGTAATTATTTAAAAAATAAATTACAATATCAGTTTGATGAAAAAAACAAACAAAAGAGTTAATTCTGACCAGGCTGACTAGCTAAATACTAGTCCAAGTGGGACCAAAGTGGACTGCTGCTGTCTCAAATTAAATCCCACTTCAAACCTTTCATTTATTTTAAATGAACAATACTTAGCCCTCCTGCTGTATTTGGGTCAAATTAACCCACGAGTTTTTGATATAAAAACTGGGCTCCCATGGGTCATTTTGACCCAAAGACGTTTAGGAGCGTTCACCCTTTCAACACCAGCAGTTTGGCGTTCCGTGGTTATTCCAGTAGAAACAATATATAATTACAGAAAGTGTCCCAAGCTGCACAAGAAGTGAAACAGAAACACAGACTTCTATGAAAAACCTTGTAATTCAAAACTAATTTAACTGTTTATAAATTTAGACAATTTGTTATAAACTTTCTGAGACTAGAGTTGTTTTAAGATGGCATCAATTTAATTTGGACTTGACCCTGCTCAGATCAATCTTGCTAAAAACTAATTCATATTTCTTCAGGTTGAGACAGATCAAAGAGCTCTTTACAACAGGTAGGATATTAATTGTTCATAATATTTCTATAAAACTCTACTTCAAAAGATGTGAGCTCAGTTAAAAGGGATCTGACCTGGCTTGTTTTTTCTCAAAGTTCAAATAGAATTTAATTCATAACTGAGAAGGAAATATTCTTTAAAGCAATAAAGACAAGTTTTCAAAAGCAGCATAATTTTAAATGTAGGCAGCGCAACAGTTACTGTAATTAATTAATTTCCCTTGATAAGTTTGTCAGTGTAAATCATGTCCAGCGCAAATGATCTCATGAAGCAGCATTTAAGATCTTACCTGAGTTTACCGATGAAACTCTCTCCACCACGAGACAGATCAGTGGGATCGATGGAGATGAGGTAATTGGAGGTTTTACTCTTTTTCCTCTTCCTGCCAGCTAACAGGAACACCTGAGTCAAACCAAGTCAACAAAACCACATTTCATTGAAACACTTCAAGTCACATTGACAAGTCCTTCAGAAAACTGCAGCTTGTACATCCATCCATCCATCCATCCATCCATCCATCCACCCATCCATCCATCCATCCATCCATCCATCCATCCATCCATTATCTTTACTCGCTTCTTCCTTTTCGGGTCGCTGATGCCCATGTCCAGCTATCACTGTGTGAGAGGTGGGGGACACCTGGACAGGTCTCCAGTCCATCACAGGGACACATAGAGACAAACGAGACAAACAGCCCTTCTCTCACTCTCTCACTCTCTCTCTCTCTCTCTCTCTCTCTCTCTCTCTCTCTCTCTCTCTCACTCTCTCACTCTCTCTCTCTCACTCTCTCACCTAGGAACAATTCAGAGTTACCAGTCAGTCTAACATGCATGTTTTTAGTCTGTTGGAGGAAACTGGAATACCTGGAGAAAACTCATGCAGCACGGAGAGAACATGCAAACTCCACCCAGAAAGGCAGGGATTTGAACGGGCGACCTTCATGCTGAGAGGCAACAGCTCTACCAACTGAGCCCCCGTGCCGCTCTTTCCAACACAAATCCTTGGTGAAATGTTTGTCAAGCCACTGGGGAGCCCTCTCACCTTCTTGCCATCCTCCCTCTCCAGGTGAAGGTAGTAGGTGGGGTACATTCCTCTGTCCATGCCCTTCTTGTCTCTGGTGATCCTGCATTTCACTCTGACCCCCTGCGGCGCAGATCGCAGAGAAAACTCCTCTAAATCCTCAACATCGACTGCAGGTTCGCTGACAGGCGGAGTGGGTGCTGAGGCCACATCCTGCAGGAGAGAGCAGGTTGACTGGTGAGTAACGTGTTAAAGTAAACTTTCATTAAAACAGAGTGAAGCGGCTGATGAAGCAGGACTAAACTGCCCCCCGGGACTGGTAATGAGAACACTGTGTCTAAAATAAGGACTCGGTGTAGGAAAGAAGACTGAACTGACGGAGGGAAAAGATTAGAGAAACACAAAGATTAGTCATCACATCAACGCAAAGACGGTTTGTTTGTTCTAGTCTGTATTGAATCAACCTTGCCATAGTAGTAAAGTAGTAAAGATACAAAAGCTTAGAGAGACGTCGAAGAGGAGCTGAGGCTGCTTTGATTAGTCATCCTCACTGACATTTTTAGTTTGGCATTCAGACGAAGCTTCAGCAAATCTCACACATGTTTTAAAGACATCCCAGGATACTCGTGCTGTTGGTTTGTGAAAAGCTGCGTGGTGAAGTAAACTCTCAGAGCTCAAATATCGATCAGTCCACGTTTAGAGATTACAGTGATACAGAATGAGGAGCAAGGGGTTTAGCTCAGTGTTTTTCATTTCACTCTTCCATCTGAAGAATACACTCGCTCTCGCTCAAGGCGGACGCCTTTTCCCCTCCCTCCCCTGTTCTCCTCTTCCTCCTGCTTTTTGCTCTCTGTGTGTGTCTCGGAGCTCCTGGTACACATCTTCCAAACAAAAAATACTATTATGGATCTGGTGACCTGGACTTTCAACGCAATCAACAAAATCGTTTCAACAAAACAACAAGGTCCTAGAGAGCCCTCATGTCCCACTGAGACTCACGCTGCAGGATACGTCATGGACCCGTTGGGGGGGGGGGGGGGCTGATGTGTCTTTCTACTCTGTCTCAGGAGGATGCCCAAGACGTTTATTTAATTGGATTTATGATAGCAGGGTTTCTACTTTTTTGCATAGGCGGGTTCCTATGTTATCAGCTTTTTAAGAAGATATCGGCAGCAGTTTCAGTCGTGACAAAACTGCCAAGTCTGTGTGAAGGTTTGGTTCGTGCTTCGAGGACTCAAAATCAGCTGATTTACGAGTGAAATCGTAAGATGGAAGCAATTGTGAGAATTGCAGACCATCTACGGCTTCTAGGACTCGCCAGCATGTTGGAGATGACCTTGAGAGAGGCTCATAGCACGGAAATTCGCTCCTGTTTGGTATCAGTCAGACCTCCATTGCACGACTACAACTGGTCCAGAATGCAGCAGGCCCATTTTTAACCAGTACAGGCAAAAGAGAGCACATTACACCAGTTTTGGCCTCACTGCAATGGCTATCGTTTCACCTTCGAATCCAGTTCAAAATACTGATGTATGTCTACAAATCACTGAACAGTCCCCCCCCCCCCCATCTCTCTGATTTGCTACAACCATATGTACCACCACGCTCCCTGAGGTCAGCGGACCAGTTGCTCCTCACAGTTCCAGGAACTCGTCTTAAGCGCAGAGGTGACAGGGCCTTCTCTGTAGCAGGACCAAGACTTTGGAACGAGTTACCTCTGCTTGTCAGACAGGCCCCCTCCCTCTTGGTTTTCAAATCCCGTTTAAAAACTCACTACTATTCAGTAGCTTGCAACACCAGAGGATCTATGTTTTGAACCTGTAAGCTCCACACTGGTTTGTCGTCATTATCTGCATCATTTTTATGTCTATATTCTGATTTACCTCATTTTGTATTTTGCTTCGTGTGTTGTCTGTTGTTTTGTCTGCACTTTGGTTGGCCTTGTGGCTGTTTTAAGTGCTCGATAAATAAAATGGTATGGTATGGTATGGTATCAATCAATCAATCAATCAAACTTTATTTATAGAGCCCTTTCCAGCAGCCAAAAGGTGCACAAAGTGCTGCACAGTACAGAAGTTAAAAACAAACAAGAATAAATATGGTATGGTATGGTATGGTATGGATCAGTGTAATGCCCACAAATCTGGCCATTTTGGATCTTAGCAGTACCATCAGGACTCAAGACTGACAAGAAAAAAACAGTCTGCCTGAAGAAAATCAACACTTTTGGCTTATCTGAATCTGACTCCCCCATTTGGCTTCAAAAGCAGGCCGGTTATCAAATTTCTCCTGGGACATGGGTAAACGAAGGAAAAAGCTTTGTCTATCACACCAATCAACCCCACCCTCACCCACCCAGAACTTTTGTGTGGGCTTATCAGAACTGCTGACTGACCAACATGTGTAAAAACATCTTTTCAGGACTATGTGTCTATAAATGTGCTGCTGGTAGAGTTTCTTGATGTCTTAAATCGTGTCCTGATAGGACAAGATGCGAAGAGACCTTTTTTGTAATACCACTATCCATCCTCATGGCCTTTTACCTTTTTCTGTCTAAAAAAGTATTTTGATAAAGGATAAGCGGCCGCGCTCTTGTAGCAGCAGCAACGTGCACGCCGCCCATCTTTTGGACGACTGTATGAACATAATCTCACTGTTTCTCTGTAGAATGACAATAAAGCTTATTCTGATTCTGAAACCTTCCTAACAACGCCATAAACACTGTGTGAAACAGGAACTTACAAGATTTAAAGAATCGTTTGAGCACTTTCAGATTTCTGTCTGTGAATCTCAAAATGATGATGAACGGCCGTTGGTTCAAACCACTCAATAAACCGTTGAGAAGCATTATTGTATGTCTGCTGTTGCATGTGCAGTGTTTTCCTGGTTTTATTTTTTGTATGTTTTTTGTGATTAAGCTACGTCTTCATGCTTTGCTCTATTTTAGCCACTCATACATCAAAACTGCATGTACTGCAAATGCACTGAGGTCTTTTCACTTCCTTTAAAACATTCTTTGTTTTAAAGTCTGCTTCAGAACACTTGCTCTGCTTTTACGTCCTATATGCTTCTTGTAGTTTTAACAATCGTTCTTTTAGCTTTTACTGCCGTTCTGCTACTTTACCGCTGTTTTTAGCTTCAAGCTTTCACAGTATTGTTTGTATTTTTACTGTAGCGTCTAGCTACTTTTTAATACATTTAGCTAAATTTTTAAATGTTAGCCTGGATTTTGCTACTTCTAACTATACCATTTTGCCACTTTTAGCTTTTATCAACATTTTGTGACTGTAAGCTTTTGGCTAGCCATTCACAACTGTTACTTTGTATATGTTAGTGGATTTTACTTATTTTGTCTAGTATTTTGTTTCTTCTTGCTTTAAACTAGCATTTTGCTACTTTTATCTTTTTAGTACCGCTCATTCAGCATATTTCAGGAAAGCACTCAGTATTCAAACTGTATTCTGTCAAAAAATGCAATTTCTCTACTTGCTGTGATGCATTTTAATCAATTACTATTGATTGTATTTCTAAGGGTCTCAGCCAAAGCCCTTCAGTAAAGATTGTCCAACGTTTTTTATAAACTGTGTTTGGTTACAGCAGTCTGAAACTGGTCTTTTTCCCAGGCTCAGCCATGTCTTACATCTGTTAGAGTAAAACTACTGGCGTTAAGAAGTATTAAGTATTGGTTCCTCAAACTTGACATATGCACCAGCTATTTAAAATATATATTTAGTAGTTGCTTTGAGAGAACATTTTTTGTGTGGAAGATGAACACAAATAATGGCTCCAGGAAGGGCAAAGAACTTAAATTCTAACAAACTGAACTGTAATTGTCAATTATTCTGCTTTCAGGCATGAAATTGCCAAGAGTCAAGCTGAGTAAAATGATTTAAATCGTTTTCTCTCACAGGACCGAAGCGCTGCTCCTGGTTGCCGGGCAGAAAACAGACGTGTGCTGTGAAACTCATTTTTACCTTGCTCGACTTCTTGCTGGTAGCAGAACCTGGTCTCGTGTTGCTGTTGAGCTGCGAAGAACTGGAGCTAACCTCATCTTCATCGTCCTCTTCTTCATCAAAATTCATACTGCTGGATATACCTGAAGATAAAAAAAAAATCAAAGAAAATGAAGGGAGGTATCACAACCACTGACGTTCTGAGCTGCACTGATGTTTCAAGAGGCTAACAATGTCAAACAGAGTCGTTATCACTTTAGTCACCCTTTAATGGGCACCATCAGTAAATAATAATTAAACAGAGTGGTTATATTAGAACATTTCAATAATTAGTACATGAAAAAAAACATCCAAAAAATAATCCCCCCACCAGAGGATAAAACCCTGTCCATCGGAGCAGACTGAAGGGTGTAAATAAGAGCTTGTGTCGTCATAAAAGAAGTAAAAGTACCTTTCTTTAGCATGGTGACACGCAGATCCTGTTTACTCTGCGACTGGGTGCAGCTCATGACGGGCTCTGACTCGCCCTCCTCCGTAGAGGGATGTCCCACCGTCAGGATCTGGATCTGACCGTCGTCCTGCAGGGCAGCCGGGCCGTCGGTCGCTGCTGGGCCATCAGCCCACAAACACAAACTCAGTTACGCAGCGGTTAAAATGATACTTCCTTTATCATGTATAGATATATGTTGATGTATTTGTATAGATTTGTGAAGATCTAGTAGAGCGCTGCATGAATGGGTAAATGAGGGCACGGGCTGTGTTGTAAAGAGCTTTGAGTGTCTTGATCAGATAGAAAGGGCTGTACAAGTACAGTCCATGTACCATTTATTACGATAGTATACATGCAGCTAAAACAACAACAACAACAACAACAACAAGACAGCCATTTCTGAAAACAGAGCATCAGTCAAACAGCCAACAAGCCTGGAAAAACCTAACACTGGCTTATATCTGCGTTAGATATGTGCCTCGTTTGTATTTTTAATAAGGTTGTTGAGAATATTCTGAAAGAGCACATTTACATATCGTTGAACCATAAGTCACAAAGTGTTAAAGTCAAGGTAAATTAATTTTATTTGTCATCTTGTTGCAGTGGTACCTGAATTTTTTTTATTTTTTTACTTTTTTCTGGCAATGCCAAACACATTAATCTACTAAACTGAGCATAATCCTTAGATACAGCAACAAATTGTGATTTATATTCACGGGTGGACGGCCTGGTCTGGCTTCCCGAAGGAACTCCCGTTGGTAAACTTTTATTTCCTGCCGGCCTGTACTTGTACTGCAAAGACACTGAGATATGTCGACTCTTGTACTTTGCGCTCACACGGTTTGCTGCTTCTTTCTGTCCCTTTTGCTCGGACTGAATTGGGTAAGAAGGCTTTCGTTCACTCTGCTCCCTCTTCTTGGAACTCGCTACAAGAAACTCTGAGATTGACTGAATTCATCTCACTCTGTGCTTTTACATCCAAACTAAAAGTTCTTGAGACCAAATCAATGAAATGTACCTGTTTTTATAACTAGCTTGTTTTATAGTACCTGTTTTTATAGCTTGACATTTTCTTTTAACTGTGTAATTTATTGTGTTGCATTTGCATCGGACTCTCTTGAAAAAGAGGTTTTTAATCTCAAGTGTTTTTAATCCTGGTAAAATTAAGGTTCAGTTAAAAGAAAATGTTTTTAATGTTGAGCATAATTGTGCATGTGTTAGTAATATTGTCCTGTTGCAGTTTTTATGCATGTATTGTTATGGCACCACTATCCATACCACATGTTATTTATTGCCTTTTTAAAGCTTATCTTGTGAAGCTTGAGTGAGTAGTCAGTATCTTACCTGCAGTAGACAGAGGTCAGAGTGATTTCAGTTTAGAGAAACAGGGACAAATTGTCACGTGGGAGTCAAACCACCAGCTACTTAGAGCACGGCCGTTCAGAAGGGAACTTCTGCCATTTAAGATGACTCGAACTTAAATGTTTTTTAGCAGCTGAAGCAAACATTATGTTAGGGATGTTTACATCTAAATATGGCACACATATGGCTTCTTCCTTTTCTGATCACGGGGATAGGGACAATTTAGAGTTACCAGTCAGCCTAACATGCATGTTTTTGGTCTGTGAGAGGAAACTGGAGTACCAGGAGAAAACCCACGCAGCACGGAGAGAACATGCAAACTCCACCCAGAAAGACCCCTGGCTGGGATTTGATCGGTGACATTGAGAGGCAACAGCTCTACCAACTGAGCCACTGTGCCACTATTTTAAGTTTATTACTATAGTTGTAAGCATATTCATCAATGTGTCATGAAATCACTAAAAATTACCTGAAGTAGACCTGTTCCTGTTTTTAGTTTTCTACATCGCCTTACAACCTAGCTGTTTTTTTTTTTAATACCATTTTCTTTCACTTGTTTGTCTCAATTTGTATGTTTCCTTTATGATTGTCCACTGTTGTCATCACTCTTTGTTAAAACCAGGTCTCTCCTGTAAATGAGTCCCCGACACTCAATGGGATTAACCTGTAGAAATGAAGTTGGATGAATGAATTCCTCTGGTACTTTAACACAACACGCATCACAAAGTGAGAGCTGATAAATGAATAAATATTGCAAAAAGTGCATCGTGATTCTAGCTCGGTATCACAAAACGAGCGTCGTCTCTTCCCCTGAACAGGACGTTTAGTTTTGTGTTAAACTCTCATGTATCACAGCAGAGCTCTAACACGACCCTGCAGCTGCAGCTTCAACACGACGCTTGTTGTCAGATGTAACTTTACACGAACAGCACGGGAAACATTATCCAAGGCTCAACAAAGAGGATGACAACGTTCCTTCTGCTTTTTGGTGTTTTGACCAGCTTCCATGGCCTAACGTTTTCATTTAGTCTTTAAAATCGACCAACATCTCACATGATCTTCGAGCCGTTTGTTTTATTAGTGACCTTTGTGCTTCGCCTTCCTCTCCTTCTTCTCGCTGCCCGTCTGTGGAGTGGAGCTGGCGGACGCTTTGCCTTTTTTAGCCGAGCGAGGCAGCTGAGGGTCCGATAGCTCTTTCGCCTCCTCACGTTCAGCTTCTTGCACTAAAGATGAGATGGAGAAAATCAGCAGCACATGCAGATGGATAAGAGAAATGTAAAATGAGCAAGGACACGGTTATAATTGCTCAAAAACATTCTCCATTATCTATGGATTAAAAATGATAATTGGGGGAAATGACTCCACACCTTTGACAAAATTATATTGTGCTCAAAGTAAAAGAAGGTCAGGACTTTGTTTCTTCTTTGCAGCACTGATTGGACTTATTCCCCCTCTTTCCTTTGAATTATTTAATTAATGCTGAAAAAATTATCATAATTTTTCTCCTCTCTTGGCAGGAAACAAGATAACTCGTGGCCTCAGGCCCAGAAACGAGAGATTAGAACTGGGAATTAGACGCAAAGCTCTGGTTTCTGTCTGAAGATAAGAGGACTTCATCAGTCCACACCCTCGCACCCCTTCGGCTCTTGGATGCTTTGATTTGAGCAAGAGCCGAAGCTGTGATATACAGCTGTGATATACAGCTGTTGTATCGATGGCTGTAACAGAAATGCTGACAGGCAAAAGTTTGGGCGCAGGCCATGACAGGTCAGGCTTCATGACCCATCCTTCTGGATGATGTTTTTTGTTTCTCATGCAGAAGAGACAGAAGTTTCTGCTGGCACGGTAAAAAGTACCATCTTTTTACCGTGGTACTGTAGTAAAAAGGTGGTATAATGTTGATGTTAAGATGCCATTGTAAATCATTATTTTAGTAAACTTTGTACTGTTTGCTTCCAAAAAGTGTAATCTTGTTAGCAAGTCTCGCTTTCGAACAGCTGTCCATGCCTCTGGCTGCAAAACAAGAGCGAAGCGTGACAGCTCCATTCCTGTGCTGTGGTGTTCTGATCATGCAACAACGACCCCAAAATGTATTTCCTGTTACAAGATATGATAATTAAATTAATCCATTTCACACAATAAGATGCATCAAGGCATGCTGCCATGAATCCTTTAGTATTTTTACGCTATTTGTGATGAGGTCACAAAATAATGTTGCTCGAGCAACATTTTGTAGGAGTCAAATAGATTTTTCCAGAAGTTCTTTAGCAGCAAAATGTTCAGTTCTAAGTCACAATTCTTTTTAGAAAATGTCTTATAGCTCAGTTTGACCCCATGTTCTTTTCAGCTGTTGTTCCTTAAACTCACCTGACCAAACATTTAGTGTGCAGAGCACTTCAGCTCAGAGTAGCAGGCAGCATCTCCTACAATCAAAGCTGCAGGTGCTGATTGGCAGAACAAGCGGTTGAGTTCAAGTATTTACAAAGAGCTAAGCTTTGCAAAGCTTCTAAATCTCAAAGCTGAACATAAAATAAATAAATAAAAAGCCACTTACCATGATAGATGGTGCTGCTGTTGCTGCTGAGGTACGACTCCACCAGCGGAGCCTGTTCCTCACTTTGTTTGGTCCGACGTGTCCGAGACCTCCCGTCCACGTTGGACTGGACCATCAGAGGTTCTTGCCTCTTCTTCTTTTGCTTTTGCTCAAGAAGTGCTCGCTGGCGTTTGAAGAACAAAACCGTACCAAGACAGAAGGAAATATACAACGTGTTAGTTCTGCTTCTATACGTCACTACACAGATCCAAGTCGGTCCAGAACAAAACTCAAGCGGTGCGTGGATGTCTCCCACGCTGCCGACGGATTTCAACACACGTTTGTAGTTTTTGAGATGAGTGTTTTTCTGGACTGGATTTCAACTGGGAATGTACGAAAACTTTCATGATTTGGTGAAAGATATTCAAGTAGGTCGGAGTTACGCTGTATTATCGAGGTAAAAATTATTTGTTTATTTTTTGCTTGACCAGGACAACATGGAGTGACGGATCCTGGAGGGTGGAGGGAGCAATTGTATTCATCACCAGGTGCAAAGGATTGTGACTTTTCTTAGGCCTTGATCCAACCACAGACACCAAAATGGAAGTCAGCCCACTTATTTTTACAAGTTATTTAACTCACAAAGTTCACTTGTATACATGTAGGGGCAGCTCTCTTGGACTGTGACATGACAACTCTTTTTTTGAAAGGAACCTTTCTTACGCCGACTGCAGCACACGCCAAAATGGAAGTTAGCCTTCTTCTTCTTCTTCTTTTGGCTTTTCCCTCTTCAGGGGTCTTCACAGCAAGTCCTCCTCCATCTCACTCTGTCCTCTGTGTCCTCTGTCCTCACTCCAACTACCTCCATGTCCTCTCTAACTGCATCCATATGTCCCCTCTTTGTCTTTTTCCTGCGGCTGCATTTCTAACATCCTTCTACCAACATACCCACTGTCCCTCCTCTGGACATGTCCAAACCACTGTCCCTCCTCTGCACATGTCCAAACCACTGTCCCTCCTCTGCACATGTCCAAACCACTGTCCCTCTTTTGGACATGTCCAAACCACTGTTCCTCCTCTGGACATGTCCAAACCACTGTCCCTCCTCTGGACATGTCCAATCCACTGTCCCTCCTCTGAACATGTCCAAACCACTGTCCCTCTTCTGGACATGTCCAAACCACTGTCCCTCCTCTGCACATGTCCAAACCACTGTCCCTCCTCTGCACATGTCCAAACCACTGTCCCTCCTCTGGACATGTCCAAACCACTGTCCCTCCTCTGGACATGTCCAAACCACTGTCCCTCCTCTGAACATGTCCAAACCACTGTCCCTCCTCTGGACATGTCCAAACCACTGTTCCTCCTCTGGACATGTCCAAACCACTGTTCCTCCTCTGGACATGTGCAAACCACTGTCCCTCCTCTGAACATGTCCAAACCACTGTCCCTCTTCTGAACATGTCCAAACCATCTCAGTGTGTCCTCTCTAACTTTATCTCCCAGTTGTTCCACCTGTGCTGTACCTCTGATGATCTAATTCCTGATCTTCTCCATCCTGTCTCTCCTAAGAACCTCAACATCTTCATTTCTGCCACTTCCAGTTCTGTCTCCTGTCTTTTTGTCCATGTCTCTGTCTCCAGACCATACAACATAGCTGGTCTCACCACTATCTTGTAAACTTTTCCTTTGACCTTTGCTGACACCCTTTTGTCACAAATCACTCCTGAAACTTTTCTCCATCACTCCATCCTGCCTGGACTCTCTTCTTCACCTCTACCAAAATGGAAGTCAGTACCTCACTTGTTTTAAAGTCTTCATGTTCACAACAACGATGGACAGACGGACGGTTTTTACAAATTACCCTCTTTGCTCCACAGTCGGTGACAAAAAACAGCATTCAATTCAATTCAATTCAAAAATACTTTATTAATCCCAGAGGGAAATTATTTGTTGTTATAACTCGTTATCCTCATTTCATTAAGAGACGTTATAGATGCTGATGGCTGTAGACAGGAAGGATCTCTTGTAAAGGTCCATCCCACAGTGGATCCTAAGAAACTGGCTGCAGATGCTGTCCGATCTGTCCACCCAGACTCGGCTGACCTCTCGGTTCCCCCGGGCTGTAGGGGACTGAATACTCCTCCCAGAGCGATGGCCACGCCTCCCAGCAGTCTGCCGAGCTCCTCATCACTGCGGACAGCCAACTGTAGGTGCAAAGGGACGATCCTGTCCTTCTGCTGTCATGAGCCGTGTTTCCTGCTAGTTCCAGGATCTCAGTGGTCAGGCACTCGAGCACAGCTGGCAGGTAGATGAGAATGCATCCACAGAACAGCCTTTTCAACTCATTTGAGATTTGGGGCTGTAGTTGGGATATTATTTGAGCTTTTGAGATGTTTATCAGCTGCTGTTGGTTGTAGAAAACTGCCTTGTTGCCATGGTTACGCATCATAACAAATGGAGGAATTGCTGTCATTTATATAACATCTTGAAAGTTTGAATTGTTGCATTTTTGTAGACCGTTGAATGGCTTGAATATTCTTTCGGGCAAATATTGTATATAACTGCTCTTTCATGGCTTTTTTTTAATTTGTTGTTTAATGTTTATCACAATTCCGATGCTTAGCTAAAATACATTATAATAATTTTATCTAAGCGTCGGACAAGTTGAGTCAGGACCTCTCGGTCAGAGGACCCGACTCAACTTGTCCGACCTGGAGACACCATACCATTCCAATTTATTTCTAAAGCACTTCAAATGCAACAAGCAGTCGTCCGAAGTGCTGTACAAAAATAAAAAAATTAAAAAAACTACAATAAAACAATTAAATATATAAAAAATAATCAGAACATCACAAGTAAAAGAATACAACATTAAGACACAGATGTTAGCTCAATCTAGGTTAAAAGCCAATTAAATTATATATATATATATATATTGAACATGCATCAGGACATTTATCTAACGGTAAATTTAGTGGCTGTGGACAAATATTTGTGACAGTGAGTTTAAACATCAACTCCTGACTAAAAAACAAATTTAAAGGGACTTTAATTTTTGACACAACATGATAGTCAGGACACTTTGACATAGAAAACTTGGCAAAGGAAACTTTGAGCCTAATTAAGAACAAAAAAAAAACACTTTTAGTAAAATGATAATGCAATACAGCCTTTATTTTAACCTTTTTAAAAATCATTACTAAAACTCTGGTTGTCATTAAATTATTTCAAAACATTTTATTTTAGTATGAAGATGTCAAGAGCCACTTCTTATTGCCCTAAAGATATTATATATTAGATAAATTAAGATATTAATTTACATTTGGTTGCTAATAAAACTAATAAACAGCATAAATGCACATTATACTTAAAGGTTATATAAATATAGATTACAATATGAAATGTGTGAACAGAGCAGTATAAATGTTTTTAATCAGCTAAAATGTTAAAATAATGAAAAAAAAAAGACTAAACAATATTTTAAACAAAGTTTAAATAAATTGTGATGTTTACCTTAACTCAAAATCGATCTGACTGTTTGTATATTTATAGCTGCAGTAAATATAAATATATAAATAATTTATATAATATTTCCTCTTCAAATCAAACGCAGTTCGCTTGAATCCAAAATGGATCCTCCGAATGTGTTCCCATTAATTAAGTAGAAAACACCACGAGACTTGAATGATCTTCTGCAGAACAGAACGTTTCTACTTCCAGCTGATTTGACGAACGCAAACAAAAAGAAGCTTGAAGGGCAGAACAAGAAACCAGCAGTTGTCGCTGCGCATGGAAACGCTGTTCGAAGCTCTGCCGAGAACATTTTGTTTCTAATAATCACAGCAGAGTCCTCAGAGGATCAGTTAGACTGACTCTTTAACTTAGACCTGTGGGTGTAACATCTGCTCAAACTTGTATTTGAAATGTTAGCAGAGGCAAAAGTGCTGCTAAAACATTCTACTTTATATTTATTACTTTGTTGTTTCAGACTCAAGCCATCTCACCAGAATGACTTGAAGAGGAATAACTAAATGCAGTTGCTCAGTTTAGGCCGAGGCTCTGAGTGATGATGGAGCTGCCCTGCTGTGATTGACTGGCATCGTGGAAACCAGTGAGGCTCACCTGTCTGTCCAGTTTCTGCTGCCGAAGGTTTGTTCCCTCGTCGTCTAAAGTGCTGCGGAGACAAAGAACAGAAAAAATTAAATGTTCAGCTCTTTCCTAAATTCTACTGACGTTAAACATACTCACAAGCGAATGCAGTTCTGAAACATCACAAGGATTTATCAACAGGACTTTCGTTTTGCATAAAAATGTTTTGTATTGAAGTTTACAAATTACTATCAATTATTTTCACATTATCTGCAAACTACTCTAAAAATTAATCTGCTTTTTTTGGCAGAAATTTGTTATAAATCATCCTGGCTGCTGAATTAAAACAGACATTAATCCACTTACAACACACACACACACACACACACACACACTCCACCTGTCTGAACATGAACCACCTCTTAAACTAACTCACGTTTCTTAGGACTGTTTGGAAAAAAAAAACATCTAGGCCAAAGAAAAACATGAAGCTCTACACAGAGAGGCCTCTTTCTGTGAGAAAACAACTAGCACAGTCTGAACACACTGTCTTCTTCTTCTTCTTTCGGCTGCTCCTTCAGGGGTCGCCACAGCGAACTAACTCACACGAAGACTTGGTGACTTCACGTCGGATGTTCTTCCTGACACGACCACAGACACTGAGCTGCCACAGCCTCTGAGAGGAGCAGGGAGCTGCCGTCTAGTGCGCCCAGGGGAGCAGGTGGTGGGGGTTAGGGCCTTGCTCAAGGGCCCAGAGTGGGGCAAACGAGGGTGGAGGCAGGTGTGGGTGCTTCACCTTTCCCACCCACATTTTGATGTCGTCAGTCTGGGGGGTCAAACCAGTGACCTTCACACAGGCTCGCCTTCTCTAACCTCTGCGCTACCATTCCCCCTGTGTGTGTGTGTGTGTGTGTGTGTGTGTGTGTCCTTGTTTATGCTACTTTGTGAGGCCCATTTTTCCAACTTATACTACATTGTGAGGACCAACTGCTCCTTATGGGGCCCAAAGCCCGGGCCCCATAAGAAGAAGTCCCGTTGGTGGGTTACGGGCTAGGTTTAGGACTAAGGTGTGAATTGAGGATGTGTTAGGTTTAGGGTTAGGTATGTACTGGTAATGGTTAGGTTATGGATAAAGGTCATGGTTAGGCTATAGAAATGAATGAAAAATGAATGGAAGTCAATGCAACGGCCCCACAAAGATAGCAAAACAAACCTGTGTGTGTGTGTGCGTGCGTGCGTGTGTGTGTGTGTGTGTGTGTGTGTGTGTGTGTTAGAAGATAATGCAGTCAGCTGTCTCTGTAGTTTGCTGCCTTCTAACTGTTGCAAACGAGAAGATGATTCAGAAATGAAATCTAAACGCAGAAATGACAAAGATGCATGTGAACTAGTTGAAAATGGGACTGAAGCACGGAGTGAACATAAATTATCAAGTCGTTTGATTAAAGCGTATTTGGTGAAAATAGTCATTATGTGGTGAGAACAAAGCCGTGCTCCAACGTGTTTTGTGCAGCTGCTGCGTTCATTATTCATCACTCCAGAGCCTAAAAAAAGAAAAAAGTCAATTATCACTTTATGTCTCTGACTTCAGGAGTTGAGGTTTAAAAAAAAAGTTAACAAAACTGGCTTCATTATAGACGTGCTGATGAACTAATAATAAGTGATAATAAAAGTCATGAGATTGAAAATTTTAACATATATTTGTTTTAACATATAAAAATTTAAACAAAGGTTTTGTTTTAATGGCTCTATTATAAACCATAAATCAAGTTTAGCCATAAAATGCCTTTTGTTTGGTGACACGTGTGAACGGTCCTTCCCAGAGCTGTGTAAGCGTTGTTCACTAAAGGTCTGAAGCTCTGGAGATCCAATCGATTCTTCAGTTTGTTCACACACATACAAAGACAAAACCCAGCCGGCTGGACCTCTTGGGTCACGAGCTGCAGCTCCAAACGGCCCCGGCTCATTCAATGAAAACAGTTTTCTTCAGCAGATGGCCACTCCTCCAGGGTTGTCATCATCATCATCACCGCTGATGGGAATTCCATATTCTAACAACGTGACCAGCTTTTCAACCAGTGATACTCATCCTTACAATATCAAAACACTAATGTGTGTCTGGGCGGCACGGTGGCTCAGTTGGTAGAGCTGTTGCCTCTCAGCATGAAGGTCGCCCGTTCAAATCCCTGCCTTTCTGGGTGGAGTTTGCATGTTCTCTCCGCGCTGCGTGGGTTTTCTCCAGGTACTCTAAACTGTCCCTAGGTGAGAGAGAGAGTGGCTGTTTGTCTCGTTTGTCTCGATGTGTCCCTGTGATGGACTGGAGACCTGTTCAATGTGTCCCCAGCCTCTTGCACAGTAATGGCTGGATATGGGCACCAGTGACCCCGCGACCCAAAAAGGAAGAAGCGGGTGAAGATGGATGGATGGACGGCTGGATGGCTGGATGGATGGACTTGCTGTGCCCTGCTCGGCCACAAACCAGAAGAAGAAAGTATCTCAGAGTCTTGATGTTGCTGCGTGTCTAGATGTTGCAGGTATATTCAACAGCCCCGTGTTGTTTGCATGTGATGCGAACACAGAAGCAAAACGTCTCCTTGTTCAAAAAGCCCAGAACACAACAACCAACACAACATTTTAACACATTTATTCTTGGCCTTTGTAAAATGTTCTCCGAGTTGTAGCAACAAAGTCATGTCTTTGTGTGAAAACTTTACTGGTACTGTTGTGAGGCTAACCAGCGGTTTGTTTACGTGTTGCCAAAGCAACGCAGGAAGTTCACGAGGCTGCTGTTCGGACTGTGCTCACTTGTGAATGTTCATATCATGGATGCATGTGAAATATTTTGCAAACTGTACTTGAAATTCATGTTTTTTATTGGTCCAAAGAAAGTTGTGCTTGTGTTTGAGACGTGTCGAAAGCAGAAAGTGAAACTGTAACTTCAAAATGGGGTCAGAAAACAGGGGGGGGGGGGGGGGTGCACATTACAGATACATCTGACGCCAAAATGGCACAGAAGAAAAAACTGAAGCGATTCAGTCTGGCCAGCTGCAACTTTTCTTCTTCTGGTGTTTTTTGGCAGTTTGGAAAGAGGTACTGTATATATAGAGGTTTGGCTTTTATTTTGATAGTCCACTTCCGCTTTTCAGCAAGAAATTTGCATATTAACTAAATATTTAGGTTTGAGATAAATATTTAACTTACAAGTTAAATATTTAGGTCCAAGCTAAATATTTAGTTAGCTAATTAAATATTTATTTTGGAAATTAAATGTTTAGCTTGGAAAATAAATATTTCACTTGGAAATTAAGTAATTAATTTACACCTAAATATTTAGTTCACTAATTAAATATTTAACTTGCAAGTTAAATATTTAGTTTGTAAATTAAACATTTAGCTTGGACATAAACATTTAGTTTGTAAACTAAATATTTAGCATATTTAGCATATTTAGCATATTTAGCGTGGAGCTAAATATTTGACTTGCTAACTAAATATTTAACTTGCAAGTTAATTAGCTTGTAAATTAAATATTTAGTTTGGAACTATATAAATTTATGAATAACATGGTGAAAATCTGACTTTCAAAAACCCTTTTTTTTTCTTATGAAGGCTAAATAAACCAAAATACTGCAGTTAATTTTTGACTGTGTAACTTAACAAACAGCACCCAATAAGTGCACGTGAAGAAGGACGTTAATGCTCTCTCTGGTTTCATTTGGTTTAACTGGTGAACACAGTAACGTTCTGAATAAATCTAGTTTTGTTGTGTTGTTTAGTTTTGTATGTTGTAATGTGGGAGAAAGAAACGAGAACATGTATGTTGTTCAATGAATCCTATAAGTACGTTGGCATGTTTTTGCTGTACTTTTCACGGTGAGTCTTGAGACCAGTTCAGTTACTGGTCATCATGAAACTGTCAGCAAATCTGTCTATAAATACCTGTGAATGTACCAGTTATTGGATTTGAATAAAATAATAATAATAATTAGTGTGTTTTTTTTTGTGCTGCCTTGATTTTGTAGTGCTTGTCTGTTGTTTGAATTAAGCTGGATTTTTTTTTATTATCTCTAATTCAGTTCTATTGAGTTTATACATATATGACTAATAGATGGTTCCCATCCGGGCACTTTTTTCAAATTTAATCCCAGAGGGAAATTAAATAAAAATAAATAAATTTTCTCAATGGCACCATCTTTGTAGGCTAGCATTTAGCTTCTAGCACCAACCACATCATGACCCAACGAGAAAAGTGACCAAACAAACTGAAGAACAATAAAATCCCTCGGACGAGGCAAACGTGCGCCCGCAATGCTAGACTAAAATAATTTATGTTGTTCACAAAATAAAAATATCTTCAAGCTGCACCTGCACATCATGTCTTTCTAAAGAGTTGAATAAAGATCTCTTTAACTTCTGCTGAGTTAATGTTGGGTAATTTTCAGCTTGATATTCATTCAGATCAACACAAAGCAAATGATTGGCATGTTGCATGCATGTTTATTCCATGACAAGTTCAACTGAATATGCACTAGCAGTAATATCATGAACAAAATTCAACTGTAGTTCCAATTCAAACAGTACACTGTAATAATGTGCAGACTTTTAGTTGCATGTTCACCTGACACACATCAAACGTACAGTTGGGTTCCCTCTAGTACTTGTTCACCAAAACCTAATCAAACGATACAACAGATGGACAAACACTACACATTTGTCAAGTCACGTCAAATCAAGGTTCTTTACTGTCATTCGCATCAAATGTGTACATGAGGTGGAACAAAACTGTGTACACAGGGTACCAGTTGCATCCAACAATAGCAAAATTATAAAATGTATAAAGAAACAGTAAATAAGGATGTAAGATATACACTAAACAAACACTTATAATGTAAAACAATACGGCGTAACAACAGCAGCAAGATTCCCATAAGTTCGGTTCGGCTGTAGTTCATACGCTTAATGCGAGCACTAACGTAAACTAGGATTTATTCAAACCATGCAACAAAAATACAGAAACAAGGCGCCAAAAGTGAAAAAGAATAACTCTACAGCAGCACGGTCCTTTTGGCAGAGTGGTTCTGATGACAG